GCAAGTTCATGCTTTAATTGTTGATCAACATTACATTGCGATATTATGACCCACACCGCTGTAATTGTCAGTAACCTGTTTGATGAATCACACCGCTGTAATTGCCAGTTATCTATTTGATGAGCCACACCGCTGTAATTGTCAGTAAGATGTTTGATGACCCAAACCGCTGTAATTGCCAGTAACCTGTTTCATGAGCCACACCGCTGTAATTGTCAGTAATCTATTTGATGACCCACACCGCTGTAATTGCCAGTAACCTGTTTGATGACCCACACCACTGTAATTGCCAGTAACCTGTTTGATGACCCACACCACTGTAATTGCCAGTAACCTGTTTGATGACTCACACCGCTGTAATTGCCAGTAACCTGTTTGATGACCCACACCGCTGTAATTGCCAGTAACCTGTTTGATGACCCACACCGCTGTAATTGCCAGTAACCTGTTTGATGACCCACACCGCTGTAATTGCCAGTAACCTGTTTGATGACCCACACCGCTGTAATTGCCAGTAACCTGTTTGATGACCCACACCGCTGTAATTGCCAGTAACCTGTTTGATGACCCACACCGCTGTAATTGCCAGTAACCTGTTTGATGACCCACACCGCTGTAATTGCCAGTAACCTGTTTGATGACCCACACCGCTGTAATTGCCAGTAACCTGTTTGATGACCCACACCGCTGTAATTGCCAGTAACCTGTTTGATGACCCACACCGCTGTAATTGCCAGTAACCTGTTTGATGACCCACACCGCTGTAATTGCCAGTAACCTGTTTGATGACCCACACCGCTGTAATTGCCAGTAACCTGTTTGATGACCCACACCGCTGTAATTGCCAGTAACCTGTTTGATGACCCACACCGCTGTAATTGCCAGTAACCTGTTTGATGACCCACACCGCTGTAATTGCCAGTAACCTGTTTGATGACCCACACCGCTGTAATTGCCAGTAACCTGTTTGATGACCCACACCGCTGTAATTGCCAGTAACCTGTTTGATGACCCACACCGCTGTAATTGCCAGTAACCTGTTTGATGACCCACACCGCTGTAATTGCCAGTAACCTGTTTGATGACCCACACCGCTGTAATTGCCAGTAACCTGTTTGATGACCCACACCGCTGTAATTGCCAGTAACCTGTTTGATGACCCACACCGCTGTAATTGCCAGTAACCTGTTTGATGACCCACACCGCTGTAATTGCCAGTAACCTGTTTGATGACCCACACCGCTGTAATTGCCAGTAACCTGTTTGATGACCCACACCGCTGTAATTGCCAGTAACCTGTTTGATGACCCACACCGCTGTAATTGCCAGTAACCTGTTTGATGACCCACACCGCTGTAATTGCCAGTAACCTGTTTGATGACCCACACCGCTGTAATTGCCAGTAACCTGTTTGATGACCCACACCGCTGTAATTGCCAGTAACCTGTTTGATGACCCACACCGCTGTAATTGCCAGTAACCTGTTTGATGACCCACACCGCTGTAATTGCCAGTAACCTGTTTGATGACCCACACCGCTGTAATTGCCAGTAACCTGTTTGATGACCCACACCGCTGTAATTGTCAGTAACCTGTTTGATGACCAACACCGCTGTAATTGCCAGTAACCTGTTTGATGACTCACACCGCTGTAATTGCCAGTAACCTGTTTGATGACCCACACCGCTGTTATTGCCAGTTACCTGTTTGATGACCCACACCGCTGTTATTGCCAGTAACCTGTTTGGGTGCTATGTTCGATACACACACAAGGCGATACTGTGTCATATAGTGTGGAATAGGTGAAACAGACACTACAGGTTCCCGGGGGAACGAGACATGTATACCCACAACATGAATCACACATTACCATTACCGTTTACGTATACTCAAGTGTTCACGACACTTTCTACATGAATACGAGTCATGCTTCAATTGGGTTTATATTTATATCCTGTTACCTCAGACTACGGGAATTCTTACTTTTACTTAAGTTATGAGAATGTCAAACGGTACTTTCAATACTAATTAAGTTAATGTAACCCTGTGTAACTGGATAGATGATTGTAGACCTGTAATTGTCCTATCTGATATGCTATTAGTTAAATGAGAACCTGGCGGTCCCCTGGCTATGGACACCACGAGGCGTAACACTCTAACGGCATGTCACTATGGCATACGGACTACCATAGATCTAACCTTACTTCGTGCAGGCATGCATCACCACAGTACCACTGAGTTGGGTAACTTTTCAAACGTATTTTATTTAATAAGTCAACACAATCATAACATAAACACACTATCAACGGAATGCCTGTGCAGCCGCAAGCGAAGTATTTTAACATACAGTTACCTCCCCTTAAGGACGCCTGTCCCATTGTTACTTTAGTCTCGTTCAACCAGACTCTTGTTGTCGACGCAAGCTACGCTGAATTACAATGGGCCAAGCGTCTGATTTAACGAGACTACTGTAACCTAAACACTGGAGAATCCCACTGTAGTTTTTCATATATCTAGTTACCTCCCCTTAATTTTATTTTTTATATATTCCATTGAACAGTATAAAGACGGAAGTTCCTGGGTTCGAATCCTGGTCTGGCTTTGTTGCAGATTGTTCTACTTTCTTTTTCATTAGTCGGTGTTCCCACTGGCTTTTATTCAAGATTTGTACCCTAAGTACAAACAAACTTACACAGGACAAGCCTTGAACACTGAGGGACAATCAACTATTAGTTGGGGGACACTCTCTCATTTGCGTAACGTATATTATAATGTATCTTGATGTTTATGTATTTTATTAACCGGTACGGGGGTCCTGAAGTAACGTATACTATAATGTATCTTGATGTTTATGTATTTTATTTGTCACTTACCTTTCTTTAACACACTAGATATATATTGTATTAAATCACGCGACACAATCGTTGCGTGACAAAATCTATTTTATTCCGAATGCCACCTAAGTAATGCACAGTCCAGACAAACCCATCTCAGACAAACAACTTCACGAAGCAAAATTGAAAATACATTAAGATATATAAAGGAAATTATTTTTCCTTTTTTCTTTCAAAAGACCATGTGAAGCATGATGTGTGCAGTTTATCACCAAGGATAACTATTTAAAATACAATTAAATTTGATATAAACATGTTTTATTTGCAAAATACAAATAGGAGTAAAAAAGATAATGATGATAAATACATACGGCTACGCAGTAATGTTAAAAAAAGTCCGTAATAAGAGTCTTTTTTATTGAACACTGTTAGCTAAACAAAAATATACGTATTTCACCACCTTAGTGATCACGTGACCCGGGCGGGGAAATGGTGGCTAGACGTCTAGTCTGTATCAGCTTAGATATTGGTTATTTACAACTCTCATAGGCACAGCACATATGTACAGTTATAAAACACACGTAAATACTGTGTGGTTATCATACTGCTCTGTGTAAACAACGAAAAAACACTGGACATTGACGCGGGCATAGGCGATATTTTACCTTTACCAAAAGGGTGCAAAAATAAACAATATCTAAACAGTCATTCCAAGACTGCTAAGATGTCCAAGACAGGTTGTCCCTGACGCCGGGAGTCGAACCCGTGGCTTCGATTTCACCGAAGTTCAAACGCTCCAAACGTCGCGACTGCCTTTTCTTTCACCATACTTCCTCATTATTAGTACCATGCACCCTCCTGGTGACATGTAGATGTTGTCCAACATGTAAGGGCAGAAGAAGCGAAGGGCCCTGGCAGGAGCACTGTCTCACTACGTCTCCCCCACCCCACCCCCACCCCCACCACCAAACGACCACATGGGGCGATTAATTTCCGCAGGTTCGGGGTCTAGATGGGATATTCTGTATATTCTTGATGAGAGCTTCAAAACTGATTTACTCCGCCATAGCTTCACTTCAAACCTGTATCAGATACTCACGCTCCCCTTCCCCGTTTACACCTGGTGATATACATTAGCCCGCTGTGGGACTAACATAACATGTTAGGTTGTTATTTTACCGGGTTAGGTTGTAATACTTTAATGCGATGGGACTTTAACAATCCTTCATTGTGTACACCATCGTCGTTGACTTTAGATGCTGCTTAAACGTAGAAATTTATACCCCAGCCACAGGGGCGAACCAAAGGATTATGTGCGGACCACTAGTACTCGTGATCACATCGTGAAAGGGGGGGAGAGGATAGGTGGTTAAGACCTAAGACTACTGACATAAACTAGAGGATGTATATATATATATATGTTAGGACCAGAGACGTATAAAGCATATATAGTCTCTGTTTGGATATATACTGTCAGAAGTATTGCAAGTACCAATTTTGCGTTTTATTAGTGTTCCTTCAAAGCTGGTTAAAATGTACCCCCCCAACACACACACACAAACGTCGGAATGGTCCGGTGGTGCAGTGGATAGCGCACTTGCTTTTCACCAAGGCGGCCGGGGTTCGATTCCCGATCAGACGTGAAAAGGTATGGGGTTACCTTCCCGACCACGTGGGCTTTCTCCGGGTGCTCCGGTTTCTCCCACTCTGAAACCCCCCGCGCGCTAACATCCGGGCCAACAAGAGTGAATAATATATGTTGAAATAACTTGTTTCATAATTGTTGTAAAATAAATAAAGTTTATAAAGTACAACTAAAACTATCTACGAATAGGTGATGATTGTACCACTTTATATATACTGATATACATTATCGACAGCTGTATAGATGTAGCACGTGCGTGACATGTCCTTGTGATTTATAAAATATATTCCGTTATGCATCCGAGATATACTACGGGGGTAGTATATTGGTAACATTACTCACAATTTTAATTGAACCACTCCTTCCCGCCTTCTTTCGGCACTCAGTATCATCCAATAATAACAAACACACCTTACTCAACACCACTTCACCCTTCCCCATCACCGCTACACACTTCCCCATCACCACTACACCCTTCCTCATCACCACTACACCCTTCCCCATCACTACACCCAACCCAATCACCCTACACCCTTCCCCATCATCACTACACCCTTCCCCGTCACCACTTCACCCTTCCCCGACACCACAACACCCTTCCCCATCACCACTACACCCTTCCCCATCACCACTACACCCTTCCCCAACACCACTTCATCCTTCCCCATCACCACTACACCCTTCCCCGTCACCACTACACCCTTCCCCATCACTTCACCCTTCCCCATCACCACTTCACCCTTCCCCGTAACCGCTACAACCTTCCCCATCACCACTACACCCTTCCCCATCACCACTTCACCCTTCCCCGTCACCGCTACACCCTTCCCAATCACCACTACACCCTTCCCCATCACTTCACCCTTCCCCGTCACCACTTCACCCTTCCCCGTCACCGCTACACCCTTCCCAATCACCACTACATCCTTCCCCATCACCACTACACCCTTCCCCAACACCACAACATCCTTCCCCATCACCACTACACCCTTCCCCAACACGACAACATCCTTCCCCATCACCACTACATCCTTCCCCTACACCACTACACCCTTCCCCATCACCACTACACCCTTCCCCAACACCACGTCATCCTTCCCCATCACCGCTACACTCTTCCCCATCACCACTACACCCTTCCTCATCACCACTACACCCTTCCCCATCACCACTACACTCTTCCCATCACCACAATACCTTCCCCATCACCACTACATCCTTCCCCATCACCACTACACCCTTCCCCCTCACCACTACAACCTTCCCCATCCCCGCTACACCTTTCCCCATCACCACCACAACCTTCCCTATCACCACTACAACCTTCCCCATCACTATACCCTTCCCCATCCCTACACCCTTCCCCATCACTACACCCTTCCCCATCACCACAACACCCTTCCCTATCACCACTACAACCTTCCCCATCCCTACACCCTTCCCCATAACTACACCCTTCCCCATCACCACAACACCCTTCCCCGTCACCACTACACCCTTCCCCATCACCACAACACCCTTCCCTATCACCACTACACCCTTCCCCATCTCTGCACCCTTCCCCATCACCATTTGACCTTTCCCCATCACCGCTACTCACCTTCCCCATTACCGCTACACCCAATCTTAACTCTTCACCGTCGTATCTTCATTTTCTGTCCTGAGCATTTTTCTCACCTACATCCTATTCACCTAACGTTGACGGGAGACAGTGCTGTGTACACGCTGTCGCCCGCGGAGAGAGTTACGGCGCTAATTTACAATGACAGCTCCATCTCACCTGCCGCATGTCTGCAGACGGCATGTATATGTATACTATTGTGAGAAGAGTGTGTGTATCCCTGAACACCGATGTGTAACAATCACCAGTGACAGCTGGTGTATTACCTGTACGCAGCCCTCATCGCTTTAGTTTCAATTATGTTAATAGTGTTATAAAAAGAACCGCCGAATCAGGTTCTAAATTCGTCCCTAGGGCAACTGTTTGCAATATGTTGTTTCCCATTGCACATGTGAATGCTTTACATAAACACCTTATACATGGACCGTCGCAGTACACAGGTGGTTGTTCACAAAGATATGAACACCCTTCAGACCGTCGCAGTACACAGGTGGTTGTTAACAATGATATGAACACCCTTCAGACTGTCACAGTACACAGGTGGTTGTTAATAATGATATGAACACCCTTCAGACCGTTGCAGTACACAGGTGGTTGTTCACAAAGATATGAACACCCTTCAGACCGTCGCAGTACACAGGTGGTTGTTAACATTGATATGAACACCCTTCAGACCGTCGCAGTACACGGGTGTTGTTCACAAAGGTATGAACACAATTCATACCGTCGCAATACACAGGTTGTTGCTTTACAAAGATGAGCACTATACACAATGTTACACCCCTCACGTGGTTGCTATACAAACATAACCACTTTTCAGACTGTAAACAGGTGGTTGTTACGAAAAGACACGTATTTCAAGATTGTTCTATTAGTGACTATTACATGTGTTAGGACTATACAAAGGCGCACCCTGTATTCTGACCAACACACTACACAGAGGGTCGCTTTATACAGGTGAAACCGTTCTAAGCTCGTCCGTTATTACACGGCTGCTATACAAAAAACGCTTTCACGTTAGCAGATTGTCCTTTTGAAGAGTCACTCTATGCGGTCCTATATAAAATGAGGGAATTTCTTTGTCCCATTACACCAATATAAATATATATAATAGAGATGGCATCTGAATAAAAAAAATGATACGTGTACATTAATAAAATGTACCAATGACCATCATATTTCGTAAGATACCATAGTTAGCCTTAACAGGTGTCCGCGGGAACACATGTGGATATTCCAACACAATGAATTATATATAACTAACATTTCCATTTCCTCGCGACATTTTAATTAAAATCCAATCCAATTAGGACCTAGGACTACAGATAAAATGTCATCTTATGTAGCAATGCCATTGCTATGACAATGCCGGTATAATACGTCATAATCGTTGTCATGTGACTCGATAAGATATTGTCATGTGATGGATGTAGGGTACGTGTAAGTATTGTATATATTTGTTACAATACAGACAGTGTAAATAGCGTGAACTGTACATCCTCTTACAAATGCAACAGGGAAGTACTTCAGTCAGTTTCTGTATATATCGTTTGTGATGCGCTACAATACTGAATATGATTGATATACTGAATATGATTGATATACTAAATATGATTGATATACGGTATATGATTGATATACGGTATATGATTGATATACAGTATATGATTGATATACGATATAAGTAAAAAGTGACGTTTACTTACCGCTGAGGTGGTATTCCATACTCTACAGACAAGTCAGCTCACACAATACAAAGAACATATCATTTAAAACAAATCCAGAAAATAGAAAGGTTATACACTGATGGAAACTTGAATTGAGAGCCGGTACAGATCCATTACTTACACGCACACGTATACGGCGACAGTCGCTTCACCGCCAACCACCACGCGCATGCGTGGTTACAGAAGGTTTGACAGTTGGTCACGAGGAGTAAAGTATAAGCCTAAACACCGATACCACTGTAAAGCAATGGCTTGATCTTCACAATGCTTGGAAGATAAATAACTGCTGCAAACTAAATATATCTAAACACGAAGTGTAAACAGGAAGTCTTACAGCACACATCACTTAGAAGTGAATACAAGAGAATGCACTGTCACTGTCTGTACACGGTTCTGTCAGATTTGGGAACTGTAGTCCAGTGACTTGTGTTATATATTAACACAGTTATTACGATATATCGCCAATGCTGTCTATATGATATAAACTATTGATTACTGATCTTTTATTCAACGAGCCTCATTAGAACTTGTTTTACAGGTATAAGGAACATTAATGAGATCTATGCTCTTTAAACACACCTCTCTATCAAAAACAAATATGTGTTTCATCGTACAGGATGCCAGCTTCAATTGGTGGAGCTTTTATCACGTGACCGGCGCTGTAGATATATTCCTCTATATTTGTATCGACTTTCTGTTTCTTAACTTTTAACAAATAATGAATCCCCTTTCGTTATAATATGAACTTTATCTGTTTTACAACAACTTTGAAAAAAGTTATTTCACTTATATTAATCACTCTGGTTGGCCCAGATGTTAGCGCGCGTTGGAGGTGGGTTAATGTGATAGGAAACCGGAGTACCCTGAGAAAACCCCTTCCCTTGACCTGATGACATCGTAACACAACGTTTCCTGTCTGCCAATGTAGCAGTTACCGATGGCATTTCCACCGACCCGTAAATTCCGTCTTTGCGCATTGTTACGTCATTGGTCTGTGTGAGAAAATGACATCGTTTTCCCCAAAATTGATGACGTTTCTCTCACAAACAAGTGACGTAACAATAAATACCTGCTCCCAAGAGAAGATAACTCTGCAATACTCAAAGACGGAATAGTGCCAAGGCTAAACAATCTATACTTTGCATAACTTATTTGGCTGTGATAGGAATTTATGTACAAATGTATTTTCTTTTGTTGGAGAAGTTTAGATAAGTTCATTTTGCTGGTTACAAATTTCTCATAACGTATACATTTGTAGTTGTGATAGTTTATATATTCATTTCTGATCGTAATAAAAGACTACTAGTATGTACCCTTTGTTAACTAGCGGATTCCGTTTATCCTTAGTGCCAAGGCTATTGGTCGGATTGGTCGAGTGGTTAACACTCCGGCCTTCCAAGCAGGCGACCGGGGTTCGGGCCCCGAAGTCGCCGTATGCAGGGAATATTAGAGAAAGTGTTTTTATCCTGCCCACACAACTCCAACAACCCAGGTGGGGTATAAAATGGTCTTGGGTGGGTGTTGCGGTATCTGTGTTGTAGCATTCAAGTGAGGTGGCACTATAAAGGATACCGTTGGAAGCACGGTCCCACTACAAACAGAACACAATACATATCCAGCACACACACAGGCATACACACAAAGAGAGATATTAGCCATGTGGCATAGGACTAGCAGTTAGCGCCTGATAAGGCAGCTCCTGCGAATTCCTCAATATTGTATTGATTTATATATATATGCTAATTGTATTGACTGTATAAAATTGTATATCTATGTACTGTAAAGCGCTTTAGAGTGGCTTCTGTAAGCTAGATAGGGCGCTATATCAAATGTTGTATATTTATTTTTATTTTATTTATTTTAAAGGTCCGTTTATTAAACACTGCTCAAATCTCTGGTAGAACCATACATGTAGTATATTATCAATATAAGTATATTTAAACAAATGGGGCTACTCAGAACATATGATAAAAATGACATAGAAAATCTTGTTTTTTTTTATATATATATCGCTATTGGAATAAGATTTTTAAAATGTCATAGCAAATCTTGGAAATCTATTCATATATATTTACATTTGGTGTGGCCCTTCTATATTACTACTACAGTACTGCCAATAGCAGCTTCGTAGTATGCGACTATAACTTAAGTTGGTCTTTGCACCTCCGAGCGACTTAACAGTGACGTCACTACCGAACTTACGGTATCTTCTTTGATCCCGAACACCTGGGCCGTTTTCGTTTAAACGGTCAAACCGATCGGACCACTGTTGTTCGTTTATTAAATAAGGTCGGACCTAGTAAGCTGATGCTGCTTTCAGGCGAGCCTTGACAAAGCCTTGCAAGGCCTGCATGCACATTTGCAGGTCCGCCAGGATTTATACCCGAAATTGTTACATTTATAAACGGTCAAACCGGTTGTTCCGCATAAACGAACAGGCCCCAGCTGCCTGTCTCAAGTGTTTGTGAGATTTTTACCAATTCAACCTTCTCCGGTTGAACAACATGCTGGACTGCAAATATAACTCTGACCTGATTACTTCGGGCTTCCGTTGAGTGCGTGCGCCGGATATAGGTCGCAATAAAATCGGAATTTTATTTACGCCACTTGAAAAGTTACTTACAAAATGTTATTTGTTACTATTTTATGAATTGAGAATATGATATATATA